GGCCGCAGGGGCAGATAGAATTGCCTCAGTCCTCTTCAAATTCGGGGACCTGCTGTAGTAGATGATTTACACTAGTTGTTAATGAAAATTTTGGGGCAGGAGACAGTCCCGACAGAGTGGAACCGCTTCGTCATAGTCCCAATTTTCAAGGGAGGCGCCCTTTCGGTATGCGGCAATCATAGAGGGCTTAGCCTGATCTCAATTAACTCTAAATTGCCTGCCTCTGTCTTTCTCCACCGGCTGACTGGCACTCGTGAAAGCCAGATTCGTGAAGAGCAAGCGAGTTTTCCTCGAGCTCGGACTGCATCGACCACATCTTCATCTTGCGTCAATTGTTGGAGCACCACTATGTCTATGGACGATCCACCGTTTTCGTGTTTCTTGACATAAAAGATGCCTTTGATTCAGTCGATCGATGTGCTCTTTACGACTGCTGAGGAAAGGTGTGTTTGATAAATACGTAAATATTATCAAAGCACTGTACGCGCATAGTTCGGACAGAGTGAGGGTTTATGACGAACTGCCGCCACCCCTCAGTATCACCAGCGGTGTGAGACAAAATTGCCCGCTGTCACCTTTCCTCTTTAATTTCGCTATTGATGAAGCCATGGAATCAGCATTCGCGACCTGGAAGGTGTGGAGCTAAATCTTGGTGAACGGCTTCTTGAATTGGAGTTCGCGGACGATACTGTCCTCATCTGCGACAGCTCCCAAACTTGCCATACAGCACTAGACCGATTAGCACTGGCTGTCTCTCGTTTTGGGCTGTGCTTTGATCCATCGAAATGCAAAGTACTTCTTCAAGATTGACAGCGACCTATCCCTGCGCTAACGCTTGGTGGTGACCTACTAGAAGTCGTTCAGAAATTCAATTACCTGGGCAGCTCGTGGGATCGAAAATGAGGTTACGAACTGTATAACGAAAGCTCGAGGTGTTTTTGCCATTTTCCGCCACCTGTGGCGCAGACGCACCATTACTCTCGCCCTGAAGGGCAGAGTTTATAACGCAGCTGTTCGTTCAGCCCCTTCTTTACGGTTGTAAAACTTAGTCCATCAGGGCGACAGACATAAAGAGGCTCGCCACATTCGATCATCGCCGCCTTCGCAGCTTAGCTCATGTCTGGTGAGAGCACCGCGTGAGCAATGAGCGTGTTCGGCGTCGCGTATTTGAAGCAGGAAGAGTTCAGCACCATTATTTCACGCACCAGGCTCCGATGGCTGGGCCACGTGTTGTTCATGCCAGCACACCGACTCCCGCGACGTGCATTGTTTGCGCGCCGGGGGTGCGGTTGGAAGAGGCGGAGGGGAGGCCAAGCGATGATTTTGGTCGAGAGAAATGAAAACCCTCACCTCGAAGTTGGCGTCGCTTGGTGCATCCCGACTGCCTGGGTGGGGTCCTAAGGATTATGAACACGTTTGGTTGGACACACTCGCTGAAATGGCTTGGAGCCGGCCCCATGGCGTTTGTGTTGTGAGTTCCTTTGTCCATCCCCCTTGGTTAGCATCCCCCTCCAATCACGGTCTCATTCGTTATATTATAATTTTTGCGACATGATAGCCTGCTGTTAGCTCTCTGGAGCGATGTCCCTCCGTTACTGGGGACTCAGTGGGCGTATCACTGTTTGTTTTCCTTTTCTTGTCTTTTGTATTGCGGCACACTAGCTGAGGTGTTTTCCACCTGCGGCTGACGTGTATAATGAATGAATGAATGAATTTACTCCGCAGACTGATTAGTCCGAGTTTATCATAGCATGCTGCAAGGGGCTGCAATCGTGTTCACTGTCACTGGGTTGAACGCACGCTAATTTGTTTGTTAGTGACACTTGGTAAGTTCAGCGGAGCCGACTGATCAACTAGTCTGTTCGTATCGAGTCTGCCATGCTTTCACTTTGAGGGCCTTCCGAATCGCATGCGGATATTCGCACAAACCAGCGCGTGATCTTAGTCAAGATAAGTAATCCAAATTGATCTACAGCCTTGCATGCTACCCCGCCATTTGAAGCTGATAACAATGTGTCCCTGTCTGAGACCAAGGTTGCATTAGTGAAAGAGAACATCAGTTGGCAGAACGCTTCCTGGAGTGCCTTAAGTTTATGCGTGCGATAAATGAACCGCTGTCTTCACACTGAGTGGGATACCTGGTTCAATTATACGAGCGATTCTCACTCAGTGCTTGATGACTACTCAGGTGAAATTGACCTGGTAACAGGCGTTGAAGTTTCCTGCAGAGACGACGATACCTGATTTGGCGACTTTACTTAACAACTGAGTTGGTGATAAAAATCACCCTTGATTGGTTCACAGCTACAATCGGTTGGCGCAAAAGCGGAGACCACAAACAGATTGCGCAGTTTAGCGCGATGCCCGTTGATCCTACATGGGCTTTGTAGCTGAACTACAGATAGTCGGTTGTTAACCATATACCAATCCAACAGTGCTCTCCTGACTATTCTGCTTAATACCACATCAACGCCAACCATGCCAGCTGCGGCTACTTCCGCATCCCCAGACAAACTTAGGTTGAATGTGGCTCCCTGCTTGGGCGGAGATATCAATTTGAGCACAGTGCTTTGGTCTTGCTAACGTGTTTCAGCAAGACAGCAGGTATCACTAGCGAGGGAACTCAGAGTACGTGCCAAACCTGCTGCTTGCCCAATTTGAATAATCGTCCAAACATTAGAGGTTGCAAGCCGAAACGAGGATCGGGTTCAAATGATAACCTTAGCCTAAACGTTCTGGGCAATGTTGGAACCGGCATCCGGATTAAATCGTGAGTAACAGGAATTAATAATCGAATAATGGTTGGCATGTGACGGAGTTTGGTGAGAAACAACAAATACCGGAACGATAGAATGCGGCGAAATAGTAGTGTGATTCATGTTTCTGCCAATGGGCGAGGTATTGCCCGGTTGCTCAAGCCGAAGTGGAGAGTTGACTTTGAGAACTCGGTCTTAGGCCTTTGGCTCAACAACCTACGCGCAACGCTGTGGGGGTGAGTTCAGGGAATTGCGCCCATTTGGAGTCGATGACCAATCGATTCATACGCCTGTTTGGTAACTAGGGCTCAATCTTCTCACAATGACAGTCTCCACCTGCTAGAATACGATGCACCATCGGAGTGAAGCAAGGAGCAGTGACTTTATTTATTGGCGAGTCACATCCGCCACGTCGCAGTGTTGTTAAACAGTCATATGTGGCTTTTTATACGGTAACGCTTTCCAGGCGAAAACCCACCACTTCCTAGAACACTGCGGCCGAACCATTTGCTGGAAGGGGAAAAACCCGAGCCACTCAACTGGCACCGCGAAGAGATTGCTCCGTAAGCCATTCATCCGAGTACTGACGAGTAGATTCAGCACAGTACAATCATGGTCTGCTATACACTGAACTTAAATCGCTGTGCATGCTAAACTTATGTTCGCCCATTGTCTTCTTATCGGTTCTCATCCGGTGAAACTGCTGCTGTCCCCACGCTTTTGGTATTTCAAGTCATTCGTTCCTCAGGCTGCGCCAATTTGTTTTACCTACCAAACATCATTGCGTATGGTCACATGGTCACCATATTACGTATTAGTTTACATGTTTGCAAGACTTCGGTAAAAGTCTGAGCCTCCCTAGTGCACGCCGTTTTCTAAACTGCCCCTCGTTCGGGCATCTTACTATTTGTCCCAACCCGTTTGCACAGAAACTGCTTTACTTATTTTAATCCTTTGGCTCACACACAGCATTCACCTTTTACACGATAATTGTCGCTTATACGGCACGCAAATCTTTCCTTTGCTTCCAATATCAGCGAACGTGATTGTTTCATGAATGCCATTCGGTTTTACTAACAAATCAGCAAGCGGAGCCAATTTATTTTTCATGTTGCACTCATCGGATTAGTACTCATGTGACCCTCATTCGGTAGTGCATATGTGAATTCGGTGCCAAACGTGGTTGTTCTCGCAAAATCTCTGTCCTAGACTAAACATAATACTCGCTCTGCCATGCTGTTTAGTTCGCCTGGTAATTGTCAATCGCTGTTTACAAACGACCTTGACACAATTTAAACAGCAACCTTCACCTCATGCATCGCCGCTTGTTTTCACCCGCCCATTATGCTGCTTTTCTGAATAAGCCGTCTCCAGTTTCGTTTTCACAACAATCCACGTCTTTGCTTTCTGCAAAGAATATCGGGGTTACGCACGTTCCTGGGGCCGCGAGTACCTTCCCCTCCCATATCGCTATTCAAACAGGCACACTCTTTTATCCACAGAACTTTCCGCCACCACCTTTAAAGTGTGGTGCAAATTGAAAGTTTTCCTTCAGCATCCACTCTCCACTTGTTCCCCAAGGTTTTCATAAAATCCTATAGTAGACACATATCACAGGAAAACGTAATATGCACAGACGACCACCTAAGTTCCGAAACTGCCAGGCAGTATGTCAGCTTTTTGTATTGAATTCATCCGTTGTTGAATTTGGGCCATCTGGCGTTTATTTTTGTACTAATTTCTACTCTCTGTTTGTTCGAAGCTAACGAAGCGCCGCTTTGTTTTTGACTAAGAGCCATCGATGCTACTACCCACGTCTCATTGTCTATCCACACCCGGTTGCTACCTGTTTCACACCTCTCCTCCTAGTCACTGAGCGCGAACAGTTACAACATCTTGATCGCCACTCTTTATGTGGTGCACAAACTTTCCGATCGCTTTTCACGCTATTTTCAGTTGGCACCGGCTAACGTTATTCAACCTGTACAGTAGATGCCCCTCCTCGATCATCAGTCTTGTCCAACTACTCACTGCGACTATTAGTTGTGCAGCATTGTTTCACATTCTGCCGATACCCGTTCTCTCGAATTCCTCTGCTTCTGTTTAGCTCAGTGTATCCACGAAGTTCGTCGATGAGCGCACAGGCGACCATATGCTGTCAAATTGTCTGTCTCCTTGATTCTGGCCCTCACACTGTCCATCTTGTGTTTCTATCCCTTTCCTTCGCTCTGGTTCTGTTTTTAGTGATTAGCCTCACTCCAGAGAAGATGCACCAACAGGCTGTGCTGTTACAGCAAGCAGAACAAGAGCGCTCAGCTCAGGAACACTCTGTGGGAGGACTCACTCCAGCCAGGCTCAATGTGGAAAGCGAGGTTTACTAACACACACACACACACACACACTCTCATTCGTGCAATATTCACTCTCCTTCATGCACATACATATCTACTTCTGTTGCATTGTTATTGTGTGCGTTTCCGTCGTCTGCCCATTCCCATCACACATTGTTGCCACCACTGTTTCATTTGTTTTGGCGACCCGCACTCAATGTTTGTCCACAGGATGTGACTATTAGTTATTTTGCCTTGATTTCTCGCTGTCCATTCGTTTTATCATGTGTGCCCTTATCATCATAGCCATGCAGTGGTAGCCTTCATGACTTTCTATATTGATAACCTCGTTTTTCTTCTTCTAGTTTAAATGGACGTTTCGATCCATGCAACGTTTGTATTTGTTGCCCATGTTCATCGCTCATCTGCTCTACCCGCTTTCGGACTCTCTGTTAGTGAATTCTCTAGGCGCTCACTACTGGATGTTGCTATAAACACTTGTACACACAAGTGTTTAGCCGGGTTGTCATTTGCAAGCATTTAGGAGCTATTAATGAGAACGGTGATGTTTCTTGCCTCTTCAACGCAGTCGAGTTTCTTTGCGGTGAACTCCTTTTGGAACTGTATTTATGCATTTATTCACCAGCATTATCGGAGTCGCTCCGTCTTGTTTTTGGACTCGGTCAACACAAAGTACACCTGATCTTTTGACTATTCTGATGTCAACGGTCCCTCTACGCATCATTTGACTGAACAAAACCCAACTGAAACAAGAATTTCATTTTACATTTTTAAACAAACAAATCGGACTACGTAGTTTGCGTGATGACGCCGTCATTTCATGCATTCTTTTTACTCACGAACACACAACATTGATAGATGAGCCAAAACGTTGTCTTACGGGATCGCATGTGGCCGAGCTCCTTACACTGTTAAGGTAGGCTTAAAGCCGCAGTCAGTTTATTTTTGAATGCACACCGGTGGGCGTTCGCGATCGATAACGAGACCGTCCAGTAGCCTAAGCATGTCGGACCGCTGATCGCGTAGTAGAACCGTGGGCGACTCATTAGGATTGACTGGGTGGCTGGTGATCAATGAGTGCATTGTGACCGGCGAACTGGTTCGGTTTTCCAAATCAGCCGATTCCGTCATCAGAGATCCCATCGGGCTGGGTAATCATTTTGTTTATCTACCAGTGTTTCATGTTCGTGATTGAAATGCACGAAATGACGACCTCATCTCACAAATACGCCTTCTGCTTTTTTGCTTAATGCTCAAATAAAGTCGGCATGCAATATCTCCTCATCGTATGAGCCATAAATCTGCTCCTTTCCGACACTTGTACAATCTCAAGTCCAATGCTGCTCACCGGGTACTTGTAGTGCCATTGAACGATATGTTTCCCCTTGGTAATGCTTGAACTTAGCCTTATTGTATGTAACTCTCGAAGGCCGATTCTGATCGCACATCTGCATCTAGACTGCCGTTGGCTCACCAGTGTAGTGATAAAATGACGATGATCTTGCGTCACGAGCGTGCCACTCAAATCGTTGGTTTTCTCATTTTTTTATGGATTAAACACTTCCTCCGGGTACCAGCTCAGCTGTTTGCCCATGTACTGCATGAGCTTTGTCAGAACCGATGTTTAGTTATTACTGTTAGGTGATGACTTCCGACACTTTGTGAGATAAGTCCAATTAACGTTCCCTTATTCGCCACTAGATAGAAGATTAATGATAATGCAAAAATCTACAAATAAACAAGGAATGGATTGGTTAGATGGTTGGGAAACTAAACCATTTTCTGATTGCATCACTTGCACCATGGCTTCCTATTCTGCAGTCCCAACTAGGAAGGCGGCTATCACTGTTTCATTAAATAAACTTCCTCGTATTTGTATGCCACGAAGTCTCACCAGATATGCGAGGAACTTGATTAACCAGCGTAAATGCTGCGGATAGATTGGCTCATTTGGGGCGGTGCCAGAAGGCATATATCCACTCACTGGGCGGCTAGCATCAGCAGTGCTGGCTCAGTGTTTTCATCAAATATGGGGGAGCCTTCATCAAATATTGTTCTTCTCTGAATGCCTTGGATGCATGATAATCACTCATGTGATATACAGGCCATAGTTATGGCTACACCATAGTGCGTTCTTTTACTTTATTGAGTTTCCAATGCAGAAAGGTCTCATTCACTATCTGCTGGAGGTCGGCTCCATTGCAGTAGTCTGTCACCAGTAAGCCTAAATCACTCACTGTCATTTTCCGGGCAGCGCTTCCGTTCGCCATATGCGCCGCTCCTTTCGAGCGTCGCCGATCAGTTGGTGTCCACGTCGACTGGTTCGCACGGATGGCGTAACCGACCCCCAGCGTAGTGCACCAAAATTTTCAAAACTCCATTGCTCCACTACGGCTGAGTGCAAAATAGGACGAATCCTTTGCTCAATCAGCTATGTGCTGATCCAACAGCTTCCAAGTGATGGTATCCTGCCGGTCTGGCCTCACAGCTCATCTGTCTTTGTGAAACGTTATATTGACGAGGCACGTGTTGCAGTGCGTTCATGACTGGTCGGGGTCAGAATGTGCTTGATTATCCTGCCTGATAGTCACTTTACAACTTCTGGGCTTGCATCTTGTAGCAGGACGAGATCAATCATCTAATGTCGTCCAGTTGACCCGTATAAAGATCTTGGCATGGACCAAGTCACTGTTACTGTCGTGAACATAGTAATGAGTCCCGGAACCCAAAGTTCTCCAACTTTTGTAACAGTCGCTTGTGCGGTACTCGGTCGAACGCTTGGTGTATGTCAAGAAACAAGATTACTACTGCATAGCCGGAATCGATTGATTCTGAAACGTGATTAAGGTAATGCAGTTGACAGGTGGTGCGCTTATTGAGAAAACCATGCTGCGAATTATTGATCAGGCCAATAGAATCAACGAAGTTCATCATCTCCTTTCTGACTAGCTTTTGAAATAGCCAAGCGATTATCGGAGTGTGGTGGATTGGTCGGTAGTTAGCAATCGTTTATTTGGGACATCCTTTATGCCGAGGCATAATAACAACGTTTTCCAATGGTCTGGAAATTGGCCAGATTCCAGCGATAGAGTGAACATGCTCATCAGGAGCAATGGTATATCAGACCCTCCTAGTTTAATGATTGTTGGTGAAATGCCATCAGCTCCCAGTTTGAAAGATGGTCTGATTAATTTGAGAAGCGTGTATATTCAAAGAAAGAATGACCAGATAAAACCTAAGAAAGCACAGTTTATCATCCTAATATTGCTTTGCAATCGTGAGTGTTAATTACCACAAGGCCCATTACTTGGGGATCATTTACCTCATTTTGGCCGAAAATGTAGCATGCATTCACCTTGCACTCTGAGCCAAAATAAAAGAAAACCACTTCCGGAGGTCCACTATTTGTGCAAACGTTTGAAATTGGAGGAAAGAAAGGGAACAATACAGAGTAGTGAGTTGTGAGTATATTACTATGTATGTGTGTGTATAGGACTGTGCATTTGTTGTTATAATGAATGCATTGATCAGGTACAGGGAAGAACTAAGCAAGGAGATGGAAAAATGTCCATCCTAAGCAAATGAATCAGCCTACCATGATTGTAGTAGGAAAACTAAAACTAAATGTTCACCGCACAGCGAGATTAAATTGCTGTGATATAATAGGGAGTGTCATTGATTTTTAAAATGAATAATGCCTGACCGAAAAAGAGAGAGGAAATGTTCAACCGATGGATTCCTTCACGCAGAAGAGGACATGTCGAGCAATTTTGTCATTCATAATGTATATGATACAATGAATTAACAATTTAAAAGGAATAAATTGCTTTGTGTACAAGTTCCGTATATAGCTGTTAGGCATGTCGAAATATTAATGATAGCGATAATAATAATAATAAAAACAGCGCAGTTAGAATTTTAAATGAGAAAATCAGGATTTACGCTTTGCTCCGCAGTACTCCTGCAATCCGCTTAGATTCACAGCACGCACAGTTAACATCAAATTAATCCATGGTAAACGCTAGGTGTAGGATGGAGACGTAGTGTTAAGTGACAAAGCGTAAGTGGATGAGTGCATCATGCAGCCGTCTTTTAAATACTGTTAGTGTCGGTGCAGAGACGACCGATTCTGGGAAAGAATTCCACGGGCGACACACACGAATGGAAAAGAAATTTTCGCGGCACTCCAGACGGCTGTACTATTCTGCGAGTTTCAATGAGTCGCCCCTCAGAGTTGTATTGGTTCTGATTTTCATCAAGGAGCGGCACACACGATGTGGGTCTCGCAGAATCAAGTATGCCATAATCAGGTCACTTCGTAGTCTGAGATAGCTTCCACTGAATACCACCAATGGTTACAGCCTTTGTTCATTTGAAAGATTTCGCATTACAATTAGGCTTTTAGTTGCCTGACGTTGTGGCTGCTTCAGTACATTAAGGTCGTGTATCAGCCATGGATGCCAGGCTTAAATTGCGTATTCGACATGGGGGGCGAACATACGCACTGAGCATTTGTCGAAATATGGAACTGTTTATTTGTCCAAACGCCCTTCGCAACAGCCCGACGCGTTGGTTCCCAGTCTTCGAGGTCTTTTCGGGCTGCCTGGAGCAAACTAAATCATCTTGAACCAGGACACCTAAGTCAGGTTCGAGGGTTGATTGTTGTAGTATATTCGTTCCGAGCCGTTATGAGTAGCTGCTTTGATGTCGGATGGCAAGTACCTTGCATTTGCTGACGTTGAAATGCAGTAAGTTTTGCGCTGACCATTGATACACCGTATCTAGGTCACTCTGAAGCAGATGCTGGTCGGCGTTCGCCTGGATCCTGCGCCAGATCTTGATATCGTCGGCAAACTTGAAGCGATTCCATGTGCAAGGTCATTTATAAACACCAATGACAAACGTGCACTTAGAACAGAGCCTTGCGGCACACCACACTCGACTTGTATGGGGTCCGATAAAGAGCTCCGAATACTGATCACTAATTGCCGCTTTAGAAGAAACATGACAATCCAGCTTAAAAGAGGGTTGCCGATCCCGGAATGTTGGAGCTTGGAGAGTAGTGTCCGATGGTCAAGACCATCGAAAGCCTTCGAAAAAGCCAGGTAGATCACAGCAATGATTTCTCCAGCGTCAACTGCCTCGGTCCAACTACTGCGTGCGATTAATGAATTCGTTGTACATGACCGATGTCGACGGAAGACGTGCTGCTCAGGCATGATGATGTTACAGTTTTCCAGATAGCACACCAGTGCATCGGCAACTATACATTCCATGACCATGGAAAATATAGGAAGAAGGGATACTGGGTGGTAGTTGGAGGGCTCAGTTCTGCTTCTACCTTTGTGAATCGGGGTTATTTTCCAAGCTTCCACATAATGGAGACTTAGTTGTGACTTGTGTAGCGCTAGAAAAACTGAGCTAATCGTCCTTCCAGTTGGCTTGCTGCTGCTTCCATTGCCTTTAGACGAATGGTGTCGACACCCGGCGAGCTGTGTTTGCGTAGAGGCGTCAGCTTTTGCGATACAGCCTCCGCGGTAAAGACGATGTGGGTTAGTCCTGGCAAGGGAATGACAAAGATCGCTTGGTAGCAAGATCCTCCGAAACGTGGGGGCGTATTGCATCCGCCTGGTGTTTGCT